CCATGAGTGGTTCATTTTCCATGGAAAATTATTTGTAGGCATTCTTTGAGGCCTGACATGAAGATGAGTTTCTTCAAAGACGATCATGTGTTTGCCTTGCCAAGTTCACTCTAAAACCAGCATGAGGCCTAGGATGTGGCTACAATTTCCCAGGGTCCACCATTATCCGTTTTCTTAGTGCTGAGTGGGTATCCTTTGGGACCCATCTTTTCAGGGTGAATGCTCTATTCACTCTGGGTGGGCCATGGATGTTATTTCCAGTGCCCCATCCCCACAAGGCTGTAAACACCAAAGCTGGAGCTTCTCCGGTTCAGCAGATGCTCTGAGAGTGAAAACACAGTTCTGAGTACCTGCAATCTCTGAACAGTTTTTTCTAAGTAACTTTAAGATAATTTAAAGGACCTTAAAAAAATACTTTAGGCATTTTCTATTGTTTTTGATGTGAGACTGACCTGGATCCCTAGTTGACCATGTGGAAGAAGCGGACCTTCTTTGTTTTAAAATGTGGCATAGGAGCCGGGCTCGGTGGCTCAGTCTATAATCCCAGCACTTTGGGAGGCTGAGGTGAGTGGATTGCCTGAGCCCGCGGGTTCATGACCTGCCTGGGCAACTTGGTGAGACCTCATCTCTACAATAAATCAAAAAATTAGCCGGGCATGGTAGCGCGCACCTGTAGTTCCAGCTACTTGGAAGGCTGAGGCGGAAGGATCACCGGAGCCCAGCAGGTCGAGGCTGCGGTGGCTGGGAGTGGCCACTGCACTCCAGCCTGGGCAACAGAGTGAGACTCTAACTCAAAAAATAATAATAATAATAATTAATAAATAATTTTTTTAAATGTGGCATACGTAGCATTTGAGATAGCCCAACTCTCTTAACAGAAGGGCACACCTGCATGCAGCATACATGCCAGTCAAAGCTATTCTTGACCTGCTACTTTTTCAACATAAGAGCTTTTCACATTTGATTTTTTTAAATCGTGGGGACCAAGGGGAGGCCCAGACTGTCCCTGTACAATAACCACTTATCTACCTAGTCTTAAATTGTACCCTACATCTTTCAAATAAAAAATCTAAAATAATTTTGACCAGACCCTATTTACTCAAGGAAGAGCGGGTCAGTCAAATAAAAAAGAGAAAAAAAAGATCAAATTGTGCTAAGTTGACAAAATGGAAAGCACTGTCAAAGTCATATTTACCAAGCAATTATATCCTGCTTGGAACATATCAAATCACCAAGTTTTTATGTCTTTCTACTTTCTAGATTTACTAAAGTTATCACAGTTTTGTATGATTCCATTTCCTTCATCCATCACATAGGCACCCTAGTACTTTTCGATTCTGAACGTGTTTCAACTTATGTGTACCGAATATTGGCATGGTACTCTGTCACAGACATTTTGAAAAGGAGAATAATGAAATAAAAATGGCTTGAATTAATCCCAATGGAAAGTGAGCTACAAAGACAGGTATTAACAGAAACAAACTACAAGAAAAAAGGAAATGACAGCCTAACACACCACGGAGGAGTTCTTCACCAGAATCTCCCCATTTGCTCAAGAGTTTGGAACTCCTACTTTGTCAGGTCTCAGAGATACTGACGCATTTGTGAAGGTTTTAAATGAATAAACCTTTATGAATAACTGTACTTGTATTCATCAGTATGGTTGGTTGTAAACTTTGGATGGATGAATGTTAGTTTATTACCTCTCTCTATATATAAGGGCTATTTTCTAGTTAAACATAAGTATTTTAATATTGTCTGTTGTTCCATTCTTGGATTAAGTATTGACTGAACACACATTTGCTTTAGATGCCAATTTGATGGGCATCGGCACAGTTTGCCAATCACTTTGATACTCTCCCCTTCCCGGTACATCCTGCCCCAGTGGCTAATTCTGGACGATGAATTGAGACTCTCTCCCGCTTCCTCAGCAGAGCGATGGCCAACATTCATTCTTGCAGTCTGATACCTCAGTGACCCTCCTGAACAGATCTGTGATGGTATCTCAATCACCTGCCGTGGCCAAATACCACACACTGAGTGGTGTCAACTACAAAGAAAGTTTTTTTCCACAGTTTTGGAGACTGGAAGGTCAGCACAGGGTGCCAGATGGTTGGGTTCTGGGGAAGGCTCTCCTTCCAGCCGTGGACGGCTGCCTTGGGTGTGCTCGCGAGGCCGCCTTTTGTCGCAGGCGCAAGGGGGGGATGGGCAGAATGCGCCCTCGGGCGCCTCCTCTTCTACGCTGCTGATCCCACGGGGAGATCCCACCCTCAGAAGCCCCCGCCAAAACGAAGCCCCGCCCAAAAGCCTCATCTCCTCCCGCCGCACTGGGAGGCAGGGCTTCAGCATGCGAATGTGAGGGGGCCAGGATTCAGTCCATGACAGTGAGCATGGAATGCAAGGGAGGAGACATGATGGGAGACTTGGCGACTGTTTGTTTCTCCAGCATCACCCAGACCAGCCAGGCCGGTGCATCTCGATGAATGAACATGACCGAGCTATTACGCAGTTTTCAATGAAAAATGAATAGCGGGGAAGGCACCCCTCCCTCTGGAAAACTAAAATTTCTCGAACACCATGCTTTCCTCATGCAGACCTTCACAATCAATGATTAAGCTTGTGACAAGTCACTGCTTTGCTAACCTCCGATGTCTCCACATGGTTCTTTGAGCTATGGCCACCATGTTTTCTTAGTTTTGGCCCCCTCCGCTACCTCCCTCCCCTCTCCCTGCTCCAAGGACAGGAACAGGGTATCCTCACAGAAGTCACACGGGCTGTGCATGCACACGGTGCGACAGTGAGACACTGGTGCAGGGTGATGGCTTACGGCATACAACCCCAGTGCAACCCATACACACCTCCACCTGAATACCACACCGGGTAGTAGCTCTAGAGGTCAAGGACAAGACCACTTCTGGAAGGCAGCGCAATGAGAAAGTGGCCTTGGATTCCACGCTCCAGCTATGTGACAGTCAGCAAGAACGCACCTGCTCCAAAGCCAGGGCTCTTGTCCTAAACAGGGACAGTCAAGCCCGGCTCCCTGTGCTGTGCTCACTGTGCTGCTCACACGCCACCTGGCACGTGTGGAGGCTCCCTGCATTGCAACGGCTAAGGTTCAAGGAGAATTAGATGAATAGCACAAAAGCTTAGAAAGTATTATGGTAACTAGGCTGTTAATAAGAACACAGACAATACACTAGCATACAGCTCACAACAGGGAATCTTTCTGCAGTCCTGTCAGGTACCAGGCACTATGAAACACACTTTCCACGTATTCGTTTAGCTTTACGCTAATGCCATTCGGCAGGCATAGTTATCGCCACCACAGGTGAAGGAGCAGAGGCGCAGTGAAGGTGAGAAGCGGGCCAGGATCCCACGGGGCGGACGAGGCCTCCAGAACCAGGCCCGCCGTCCACGCGCTAGGCCGCTCTGCCGGGAAGGCCCGGGTCCTCGCCGAGGGCGGCCCTCCTCCGTCACTGCCTTCCACCCCGGAGGGTGCGTCCTTGGACTTCGGTGGAACGCCCACCTCCGTGAAGCCAAGATAGCGCCCGGCCCGCAGCTGCGCGGAAGACGGCGCAAAACTCGCAGCACCGGCTGGCGAACGTGGCGCACGGGTAGCGGCTCCGGAACAGGGTCACCGCCGAGTGACGCCCCGGGGCGAAACGCCTCTTCCCCGGGGGCTCAGCATCGTCTCAGAGGGAAGCTGTGAGGAGCCTCCCACCTCGCGATCCTTCCCGAGTTGTTCTGGCCGGCCACCTCCACAGCTGCGCGACGTCCGCAAGCCCCCGACGCCAGGGGACTCC